AATACATTCGCCCACTACCTCTCCTATCATCCACCTTGATGAAGAAAGTACTCATCAAAAACATGTACCAAACGGCTAGCGTGCACAGGTGGATAGGAGAGAAAAGAACCGCTAAACTTGGCACGACAAGTGGCCATATCCAACGGCTATGATTACGATGTACCAGCCACCAGGGTCAGTTCAATTAATAGGGTTAGGCCCCAAAATGGTACTTTTTATATCAAACGAAGTTAGTTGCGCTATTAGAGGTGCAAAAAGAAGTGGTCTTGAAAGTTTGATGACAGTAATCGAACTCCCACCTCCAACCCTGTGCTGTCAGCTAGTCTGAAACAGCCTTTATGATCAGCTGTGTCACTTAGAAAACTGTAAAATCTGCCCTAACGAGAGGGAGGGGGATTGCATGAGTTCCGGCACAATATATCTAATAACATGTAATGAATGCGGGGGTATGCATTGGTGAAACGGGTAGGCCACTTCATCTGCGCTTAAAAGAACATCTAAATGGAAAAGCTAATACCGATAAGTGCAAGTTTCTAGGTTTACATAGGACGCAAAAGCACAGCAATAATGATTTAACCATCACGGCCTGGAGCGAAATCCCATGATATCAACGCGGAAAACCCTTAAAGCGTTTTGGATAAACGTTAATCGATTCCAAAATGAACCGTAAAGACGAACGCGTCACTGCAGAGTGAGCTCTTGGCACCTTACATGCGCCTCATATTCTGACTTGATCCAAGGAGCGGTGCTTAGGCATCAATCTGGTTACCGACTCATACAACTATTGATAACAGTGTACGCCCAGACTTTGAAGAAAGCGGTCTCGCCGAAACATCACCCAGCTATCCGTACAGCGATCTACTAACAACAATCAACAACGACAAACCAACGTCATCCACCAACCTCGCGCCAACTAAACAGCTAAGTTTCCATACTTGAATTAATAATTATCTTTGATGCCGAGGTTATTAGAAAGTCGATCTTTCGAATTTTTACCGTAGAATTATTAAATAATGTTCATACAAGTGAATAACTGAAGAAATCTCACGAAAGAAATGTAATAGGTAGCGATTAAACGGACAACACTCGTTACTGTCCACTAAATATGAAGGAACTAGATGCGGTTTTTCAAAATCAAGATTGTTGAAATTCAAAAACGACTCTTGAAGTCTACTTGAATTCCCGCTATTATTATTTGAAATCTGTTCAAATGGGTGCAATGCCGATTTGTGCTCAGATCAATCCCGCCGATGGGTTATTGCTCAAAGCCATCGAATAGGTTAGAAGACGGCTGACAGAAACGCAAAGTGCTGACATATAGCTAGCGAGCGCTGGCTCTGGAGGGCATACTGGCTATTCGGGACCACAACACAAAACATCAGGTTGCAAGTTTTGCTCGTATCCAAGCACTCTTGTGATTACTATGTGTATTTGTTTATTTACATAAACCGTCATTACATCAACGGTGCGAATTCCAACATTTCTCGTATTCATTTCCTCGCATTAATCGTTACAAAGATCTTCGAACATTTCACGTGCTGCTGCGGCTGCTACTTGATGGATTTCGCGTTCTTTATAAATGTCGTAGAATGCCTGCCTAGTTGATTCCCATTATAATCGTGGATATTACCAAGGTGGGATGCTGCCATGTGCATTGTACGAGAAGGTTGCTGGGATGGCATACGAACTAGCGCTTTGCCTTTGAATTACCACTCGCTGCATGTCTCCTCTAATGATTCCCAACCACCGCTTGCTAAAAAATACCATATGCTGGTTTAATATCCTTGTGTTGTGTATGGAATTTAGAACAACTAACCATAGATAAAAGCGATGCCTTTGTGTTCGTCGGCAAAATTCACAAATAGTTCCAGACTCCTTTCAAAGTAATCAGCGCTGTACATCAGGTAATCCGGGCCAGAAAGCTTTTCATCCAGGTGGAGTCGTGGTTCCATTGATAAAAATACCCTCGCCTGGAATTGTAATTTGATAACTTTCACAAGTTATTATCATTTTTCAGCCTTTCGCGTTTCTTTTATTATTGGTCATCCATCATAAAGGTGATGGAACTCATTGCACTTCGATTAGTGTGAACGGTTACTGTTTTTGTAGCCAAAATCATGGCAGAGTTTCACTACTTTCCTATAATATAAGTAGTGTTCTGGGCAAAAAATGCAGTAATTGATGAAGTGAAAAAAAATCTAATCAAAATGTAGTACATGACAACTAGTACACATTTCATTTTTGTGATTCTTCCACGAAAGCTTATTGTTGAAGACAAAAAACAGTCGACTGCCTAAGTTCTGTCTCAACCGACTGTTTTTTCACAGCAGGAAGAGAGTGACCGAAAGGATATTGATTGATCATCCCAAACAATTTACGACGGGGAATAATAGCATAAATTTGAGCACAGAAAGAAGGGAAGCTAACGAAAACGGAAGATGGCAAAAGATACATCCTGCCTCTTGTCGAGGGCAATATTTGCGAGGAGTCTTTCCATTTCTTCTATAGCTGGCTTTTTGAAAAATGTTCCTGTAACACACATGAGTCAAGTTCAACGTAACTGAACCGAAATAAAATTTCTGAGAAAAGAAAAGTTTTGAAACCTAGAATAACTCCTCGACAAATGTTGTGTAATGCCACTGATCTGCATTACATGATTAAAAAAGATGAACTAGAAACTGACAAGACATTGAAAATGATTGTCATGGCTTCGTTTCGATGCTTCCGCGCAGTTCCAAACTCCACGAAAAGAACTATCGCGAGACAAAATCTCTTAATTCCAAGACAGCTCAGAGACCCTTGTACAAAAATGAAAACATCGAACATCTAACGGGAACAACTCCAGAATACCCTTCCCGTCCAGTGAGACGCCCTCATACAAGAAAATACTACTGTCAGTAAAGACCATGATCTGTACAAAAAATGCAGTTCTATGTATTCCTCAAAAACAACTAAGTGATGTTCTTGAAGACCGATTAGCCTTAAGATGAATGATCAACGTTGGTCGCAAAAGAATATCTCGAAAATGTCGTGCACGGTCAATAATTTGAAAAATATACTATAACTCCTTCTCTATTGACATCATTAGATGCAGCAAAAGCAATACAAAAGTCATAAATACCTTAAGTTCACAAAAGAATTCTGTAACAGTGGCAAGCCAACCACCCTCGGGGTTATCCTGTACTGTACTATCCCCGGGGTTTTCCTGCCCTGTAAGATTTGTAAACTCCTAGCTGAATGATTTGGATGTGGATCAGAATTCAATCTATTTGACTATCACTTGCAATGGTATGATGTTATAATAAATACTAATCATTGAAAACCTGCCAGATGGAGTCTGTGCTTATGTGAGACTGTGCCTGGCCCAGGCCGGGAATATTAACCTGAGGTATGGTGCGAGGTCAAGCGTTATTACGAGGCACTCCTCTTTGCGGTTCATTTTTGGGTCCTTGCTATGTATCCAGAAGGCTTCCTAAGTTTTACGCGTAGATGTTTTTGATTGTTGATGTGACTGTTGTAATATTCATGTTGCATTGTTAACTGTATTGTTATATGTTTCGCTGATATTCAGTAAATAATATCAATAAAACCTCGGAGCGGCTAAATAGAAGAAGATACTCATTTGTTCAGACTATGCCGAGGTTAATAGATAGTCGGTTCTGGAATTTACAAAATCAATACTGTGAGCAAATCCGCAAAAATTTTATTTCTCATTCTAGAGGATTGTAGAGGTAAAGATACAAGAGATAATGTTGTATGGAATGATTAAGGATCGTATAACAATGGATTTCATTTGTAGAGAAACGCAGGCGCAAATTATCGAAACGAAAATTGTGCGGAAAATTTTCATTTACACCATGTGTTTGATTATAGTGAGGTGTACTGTGATTCGTTACTCAAAACGAAGACTGTCTTCTTTTCGTCAATGCTCATCACTTCTGTTGTGGAATCACCTGAAATATCACAAAGTATGGATTCTTCGAAAAAACTTTTAATCTCAGGGTGTTAAAAAAATCTAAATGGTGCATTATATTCGTGCTTCAAGTACAAAACAGTGACTAGTTGCGAAACCTCGCCAGAGAAGATCCATATTCCATCGGAAATCGTGATCGCGCGTCGAACATTTTTCGAAGAGGGTCTGTGTAAAACAAGCATTGAATTAGAATGAAGGACCATCTCTCGGTGGTGAGATCCACATGAATCATTGCTCTATAGTATAGTGGACTTCCAAGTCCACTCCGGCTTAAATCACACTCGATGATAACTCAGTTCAAGGCGTGGACAGTACAACATATCAAATACAACGATCTACAATAGATTGCTATAAGCACTTGACGAGCTTCTCCGTGACGCGACCATTAGAATTCTCGTAAGTCTGTTCTATGAATCATAAATGGTCAACGTTAATGGCACGACAGTCGTGAACCGCAAAGTTGAGAGATAGCAACTGAACCTTGCGGAGTTGCTGTATGGGCACATTCATTCATCGTGAATGAGAGAGAATGAGCGTACTCTAGGCAAATTTTGTGCCGATTTTCGAATCCGAAAAGATTAAAAATTTGGTGACACAGTTGGGATGAAATCAGGTAATCTGTAAATTAAGCCGTCTTTTAGATGAATGGAGTCGTAGCGCTGAACTAGCGCTAATATCGAAGTTTGTAGGTAGGAAGTGCCGAACCATTGATCTAATCATTTTAGAAGATCCTTATGAAATGTTGAAATATTATATACCAGCTTTGACCTCAATATGAGTGTCGATCTTTCTTAGCAGGAATACATGTGGACGCTTCATAATTGTGTGAATGGTTAGGGTTTTTGTGGCCAAAATCACGGCAGTTTTCACTACTTCCCTTTGATATAAATAATATCTTAAGCACATAAGTGTAGTAACTGATGGGGTAGAAAAATTTCCGAAATTCTAGTATCTTTACTGCTTTTTTTTTTGCAGTATTGTGATGTTACATATATACCTAAGAGAATTGAGTGGTGAGTAAAAAAACGGCCTCAGGAAGGATTCGAACTTGCGTTTCGTCCTTACCGGGGGCGCGTGCTACTACCACCACACCAGCGAGGCACATTTACACCACCACTCATTCATCAACATCTCTATGTTAGCTATCAGCGGGAAATCGCTTACTTGACCAAATTTGTTGAAGGTTGGTGGCTGATAGCTATGTTAATAGTTCGCATACAGATATTGAAGAATGAGTGGTGGTGCAAATGTGCCTCGTGGTGTAGTGGTAGTAGTACGCGTCCCTGGTATGGATGAAACGAGGATTTGATTCCCGCCTGAGGCCTTATCTTTCCTCATCACTCAATTTTCTTAGGTATACATGTAGAAAAATTCAATCAAATTATAGTAAAATACAACTAGTACGCACCTCATCTTTGTGATTTTTCCTTAAAAACCGTTGACGAAGACAAAAAAGGTTGACTATCTCCTTTGTCAATCGATTTTTTTTTCACAGCAGAACGAGTGGCTGAAAGGACATTTTGGCTAGTCATCGTTACGATTTACGATGGGAAATAAAAGATGTAAATCTTAGCACAGAAAGTCAGGAAACTAACGAGAACAGAAGATAGTAAAATTTATATCCTACCACTGGTCGAAGGCGTTATCGGCAAGAAATTCAGTCATTCCTTCATGTATCCTCGTTCTTTGTAAAATGGCCCTGTCACAAACAATAGTGAGGCCCGACATAGTTCAATCGCTACAGAATTTATGAACGTGATAGACGGTGATAAAATACTTACATATTCAAACGGTACATCATCGTCAATGATTTCGGACATTTCCGATTCTCGTCTAATTTCATCCGTCTTCACGACGTCTTCTTCAACTCGAGCACGCATGACGAGGTGAGACTGATATAGCTAAGAAATAACACTCAACTGCTTCTCATGCTGCACGCCGCTGATCATGTGAACCAAATTTCACTAGACATTTTTTCTCACTAACACATAGTTGTAAACTATTCTCATCTTTTAGCATATTTTAAGCCTTTCAGAGGTATGTTATGGCATTTTAGTGCTACACGAACGTTTCGGTTATCTCATTAATAGGCACCGCTTAGTATTAATGCAATAATGCAGAGAGTTTTAGATAACCTTGACGTTATCAAGCAAAACATTATTCACCTTTTCACAGTCAAATTTCCTTCTGCGTTGTGCCCAACGTGGTGAAGCGCGCAAGGTGCCACGCTATGCCACGCCAAGTAGCTGAAGAAAATGATCGTGAAGAAGCAGAAAAAACAACCAAACATCAAGTACGCTACAAAATTTTCGAAGTAAAGAGTATGAATAAGCGACGAACAACCGACCTGCTGGATGCAAAATCAAGCGGCCGCCATCTGGCGAGCTACCGCTTTGAGACGCTAGCGGTAAGCGAAATCACGTAATAATGTAGAATGATCGCTTACAGTCAACTCAACATATATATGTATATATATAGGTATATATATAAATGTGCAGCATGCATGTTTGCATGTGGGGTGCGGAAAAAGTTGTGCTAATTTGTGTTTTGTCAAGTTTAACATTGATATAATTTCTTCTTACTAATGCTGATATTTTCGTTAGAATCTTTGTTCACGTTTGGTCCACAATCTATTTTACTTATTTGTTATTAATACTCAAAACTTCTCTATATTTACTGCATTTTCGCAGTGTTACGATATTTCATTATTACCTAAGAGAACTGAGTGGTGAGCAAAAACATGACCTTAGGCGAAAATCGAACCCGCGTTTCATCCATATAGGGGACGCGAACTACCACCGTCACAACACCAAAGGACATTTGCGCTACCACTCAAAACATGATAATACTGCGAAAAATGCAGTAAAATACTTTCGAGAAAAAAAAATAAAATATACTTTAGAATACTTTCTAGAACTTTCGAGTATTAGTTATTGGAATGGCTGTCAGCTCAACTGGATTTATAAAGCGAAATCGCATACCCGACCAAATCTGTTAAAGATTGGTGGGTTGATAGCTAACACAGAGATGTTGAAGAATGAGTGGCGGTGCAAATGTGTCCCGGTGGTGTAGTGGTGTTAGCACCCTTCCGCGGTATCAATGAAACGCGGGTTCGATTCCCGTCTGAGGCCGTGTTTTTGCTTACCGCTGTACTCTTAGGAACATATGTCTCTTTTCAGTTGTGCTCAAGTTATGGTTCGCAAAAATGAACGTGTCGCAGTAGCTGAGTTGCACAGAACAGGAATAAAACGGCCACAGTTAAAATCGATTGCTCTTTAACCAGCAGGCGACTGCAGAGCCGTGAAAGGTTTCAAAAGGACTGGAAGGATTGAGGACCACCGTCAACAAAAGCTAGCCAGTTACCTCGTCTACTTCGCAAACATTCAAAAGATTCCGCGGTCAAGCTCAACGAAGTCGGGAGCCATGGCATCGACTGTTTTCAAAACCTCGCATCAAACATTCAGTATAAATATTTAGGAATATTTAAACCCTTACCCGAGGTTGGTACGCCAGGGCTATACATGCGTGTTTCGGAGTCTCGCGCCCCTCGTCAGTAGCCCACGCCCCATATGGCACAGTGTTATTGTACACTGTGCCGTTACCACATACGCCTCCCTCTTTGCTACAATTCAGGGCTTAATGTGGGACGTCGGCTACTGACGGGGAAGGCGAAACTCCGAAACACGCGTGTATAGCCCTGGCGTAACAACCTCGGCTGAGGCTTCAAACATTCTTAAGTTCATATTGAAGTTGGGAGTTTTCGATACGCATAATGGCTGGAGAAGTTCAAGATCAACAAGTAGAGCGTCGGAAGCATTGTCAAAAATAAGCTGAAGCTGTGCACAACAAGATCATTCGTGTTCACTTCTGAGCAAAAAGATGAAAGAAAAACGGCTTCCAATGGTCTGAAGCTATACAGTTATAGAATCGCTCGATTTCACTTTGTGGGGAAAAAATATTGTAAGATGCTTCGAAGCGAGAGGCCACTGAAGTAATGCCATGTCGTAGGCTAATGAAGTAATGCCATGTGTGTAGCATTCGTCGTAGGCTATGAGTCAATGCTACGTATGGTGGAATTTAGTAGCAACTGTACATGAGTTCAATTAGCATATCGAAGGAGTCATGAGACACTGCCATTCTCTCAATATATAACGACACTACTATTGGTTCAATCTACGAAAGTGCATGTGAATTTGGGACCGATCAATGCGTGCCTAGTTTGTGATAACATTGTAATGAGTTTAATGCACTGAAAAGTACATATGAGCTTTGATAACATATCAATGAGGCGAATGTTTTGAAATATACACGGCAGTAGAATGAGTTTAGCGTGCCATAGTGACCGTGTGTCAGTGGAGTTATCCTTATATGGAGTGAACTTAAGGTTAACGTGGGATCACAAGAATGCTAAGCAACAGTGTAGCTTAGTTGAATGCATCCTGGAAAAGGCGGTGCTTTTACGTAGCTCCTCCGTTTATCAGAAAACATTTATGACGATTGCTTTATCAGCAAATACAGCGGAAAAACAAAACGTCTTTTCAAAACAACATTTTCATTCGCGTTACGATATCTGCGAGGGTTTTTAATGAGATGCATACAGAAAGCCTCGTTTATACAAAGAGGTTAGCGAGACAAAGCCTGCTTTTTTACAAATAAAGTTGTTTGGAATGAAAATGAACACTTTATAGAAATTGCATTGAATGAGAGGTAGATCTCCCCTTATCTTAATCTTTTTCCAATCCTTTTAGGCATAAGACCTTTTCTACTTTTTCCGACTTTTATCAGTCATTCGGTAGCTCGAATTCCGATAATTTTGATGCTGTACTCATTTTCTGAGAAGGCCTTCTTGAGGCAGTGTAGTAGCGGAAAGAAAGCGAGTTCCAAACTCGTGGCGCGCTACCGTGCTTATTTTCGTTATCTATATGAAAATCTATTCCTGTTATTGAAGTTTTCAGGCTTTCGATATCAAAGATAGAAGCATTGCTCCCATTGTTTGATGGATTTGAGAAATTTCTTTTCACTTCGTATTGATAAGTAAACCCGCTCTTAAGCCTGAGCCTATAAATAAGAAACGCAATATTTTCTTCGCTTTTTCAATGCTCTACAAAGACCTTTCCAATAACCAAACTTAGCTTCATGATCAACTAAATCATCTTCTCGCCTTTTTGGCACTAAAGTAATAAACATTGAATTATTGATCAGAAGCATTAAAACTGCCATCTCTTAGCTAACAAATCAATACCGCGCTCATTGAAATCGTCATTCTTTGGTCCAGAGAACTGTGTTCATGCGACAATCAAGAACCAGTAATCGGGCCCTGTCACGTCGACTTCTCCAATGTCATACTGCTTCAATCACGTCGACTTCTCCAAAATCTCATACTGCTTCAAGACAACGCAGGGTTGCTTGTCTTCAGATTGACAAAGAGGAAATTGATCGAACTGGTCCGGATTTCCTGGATCATCCGCCGCGCATTGTCATCTCGCCTGGTCGCTGGAGTAACATGCAATTTAAATCTGAGCAACAATATCCATATGTTCGCTGAATAAGGCCAATCCTGAATTAATCTAATACTCGATTTGCTCACTATTCCCTCATGAGAAACCAATCAGTGTCACCATTTATAGAATCGTCTTAGGCGAAGTCATAGTTCATACGTCCTCTTCCAAAATATTTTTGTTATGGATTTTCAATCCTCAAAGAAAGCTTATTTTTTTGTTGTTCTTAATGTTTGAAAAATCATTCGATAATTTAAATCAAGAGAATTTGAATATTGTGCTTTATTTTCACTCCAAGATTACTGACAAATAGCAAAAAAAATTTGGTTTCTCATTCAGAGATTACTCACTGAACAAAGCTATCTCCTTGGACTCATAAAAACTATCGAGTTCAAATTCTGAGCTTTAAATAATGTCTTTGGTCTTATAAGCGAACTTCATAGCGCACTATAACAGCCAAAAGAAGACTGAGTTTCAAAAAAGTGGATTATTTCTTTTATTCGCGCATTGCTTCGATCTCTTGAGAACAACGCGCCTTTTGCTTTTTTCCAAGCTTCAACAATCGTCTAGTAGATCGACCTCAAAGATTTCGAAGTTTCACTT